AGTCTATGGTGAGTCTCCATGTCCCATTGGATTTCTTGATGGGCCATATGGGTGAGTTACAGGGACTGTTGGTTTTAACTAGCACTCCTTGCTTCAGCAATTTTTCTACAATAGGTTTGATTCCCTGTATAGCTTCCTTATTGATCGGATATTGTTTGGTAACAGGAGGTGGAGTTCCTGTCAATTTGACTGGTTCTACGCCTGTCACAAACCCGCAATCATCCTTGTCTTTAGCCCAAATTAGATGATTTTGTAAGAAAGCATACTCAGAAGTGGTTGCATTGTTGGTAGAAACTTGTGCTGAGGAAATTTTTATGCTAGCAGATTCTGAGGACACGTCTAAAGTTAAATGTACTTGTCTCAGTAGATCCATGCCTAGAATTGCACCTGTATTTAGTGGAGCACATAGCAATTTTGTGGTCAGAGTTTTCGGGCCTAATTGTATCTCTATGGGCAGGGTTTCATACAAAACAGAATCTTCACCTATTACACCAGTTAAACAAAGTTTAGTTTTCTTGTACGTGATGTTTAAATCTTTAGCTAATTTTGTAGGAATTACTGTAATTTCTGCACCTGTATCAAGCAAAAATTATATCTCTTTCTCTTGTATGCTACCTTTCACAAAAATTATTTTGTCATTGTGATGGATTACAGGGGAACGGTAGCTACTCACAGCCCCAACAATTAGTTTTTTTCCTGCTCTTGTTGTGCTCTTAGATAAGCCTGAACGAGCTGTCCTAAAATTTCAGTGGACACTGGCGGAACTACTTCAGGGTTGTAGGCAGGTCACCTTCTCTCAAATCGCCTTTACTGGCATGTTGTAGTTCAGAAGTAACAGCAGACTCAAAACTGTTGAATTCAGATTCAGTTAGACTTTGTGACATCAGCTGTGTAACTTCTGCTAATGACATGTCGTAGAGACGCATTTTGCTGATCAATGCTCTTCTAAATTCAGAAAAATGTGTGCGGGCTGAGGGTAAGCTCTGGCATAGTCTCTCTATATCTTTAGGTCCTAGTGCTTTGGCAACAGTTTGTACTTGGACAACAGAAGAGTTGGGAGGAACACTTTCAATTCCCTCAATTCCCTGAGATTTTCTCCTAGCGCCACATACCTTCACTGAATCTACAGGCACATCAGTTACTGATTGGATGGCTACATCTGTTTCAAAGAAAGCTTGTAAGTCAGGATAATTGTTATCAGGCTGACTAACTTCTTCCACATCAGTTTTTGCTGCATCTTTGTTGCGGTTCAATTTCTTAGTCAAAGAGGATACTCTAGCACGGAGCTCTTTGTTCTGTTCCTCTAGCTTTAAGCTATGCTGAGACTGTTGTATAGCTAGCGCTAAACCAAATTCTTTGTGGCAGCAGATAATGCCTTTCACATTGTTCTTGCGTATACATACTCCTAGTACCTTTTTACACTCATCTACAGACCAAGTCTTGTCAGGATGGATCTCATATTTCTGAGTTAGTTCTTGTCTAACTTTCTCAACAGTGATTTGAATTCGCTATCTGACCACAAAGGAGTCGCGAGACCACCTTTTTCAGTTGTGGGGATCAGTCTAGCATTCTTTCTAAACATTTTGTGAGTTTCTTTGTTACCACACAATCAAAACACTAAAACTTCTCTGATCAACAGAGGGTACGCTTGTTAACCTATCAACTATTGTTAACCTTCCTTGGCAAGGCAGAGGATAACAACTTTACTAGCACTTTACGCTAATCTTCCCTAATTTACCAGAGGGTAAACAATTCTTCTCTGCCGAAACAGAGGGTAACACATATTAACACGTAATGTTAATCTTCCCTGTCTTAACAGAGGATAACCAATTCTTCCCTGCTGAAACAGAGGATAACCTTCATCTCTAAAATAAAAACGTCATAACTTAGTTAACCAAACCCTACAGCTGTCTGTTAACTCTTCTCTGACGGCGCAGAGGATAACAAATTTGTACTGGTCTTAAAGATTCTTTTGGATAGAGTGGAACTCCCCAACCCTTGGTTGTACAGAAAGATTCAGTCTGGAACTTAGTCAGATCTTTGTTGAGCTTGAGGTTTCAATCTGGATTCAAGTGAGGAGCTCTATCCGGGTCACGGCATCAAAACTGTAGGAAACTTTTTCCTCTTCGAAGCAGAAACCGTTGGGATATCTTTCATACAGAAGTCACTCTTTATTGAGGACTCGCTGTGCGTCGCTGCAGTCATCCAAGTCTGACTATAGCTCAGCACAGTAGAGTTTATATACATTTTAAGGGGGCGGGATTCATTCAGTGGAGGTGGAGACAATCTAAACAAAGCATGCAAATGCAATACAGGAATCAGCCCGTTACCGGAATTTCTCCAGCCCTGATCTCATCAGCATAACAGTGTCATTCAAATGCATAGGTGCTAATCCAATCAG